CATTAAACATCACAAAACTCTGGGATGTAAACTGGACTGTTTAGCTTCACATTTGAATTCCCTACCCAAAGAAATGCAGTGAACCTGTAGCAAAAATCTAGGATGGATAGATATATACACACACATACACATTCTTTGTTATTTTATACTCTATTATATATTTTAGAGGATTTGAGGGAAATACCAGCAAATAATAACAAGAAAATGAATGTGTAAAATTGGAGATAATTACTTCTTTTCCTTCACTAGTCTTTTCCCCAAAGAGATGATCTTAATATGGCTGTTTTTCTAAGGCAGGCACCCTTCAGTCGGGAATCCTGTAAGCATTGTGGCTGTCAGCCATTCAGAGTATATTAACAAATCAGCCATGGTCCCTAGCCTTCACACTTTCCACCAGGTTTGTGATAGGCAGACAAGAGGAATAGTACTCAGCAGGTTGGTACTTGTCAAGTGAATCTAGTATGCCTTTCAGAGGAATTTAAATTGGATCAGGTTTTATCATTCATTGCTTTACCTTTGATACACTCCCAGGGAGTTATAATTAGAGGTATATGAAAGAGAAATAACCTGAAAAAATTGCTGATGGGTGAACTCTATACATAGGTATAATACATTTTTTTAAAAAATTCTAATACAGAGACATACATTTATATGACATCCTTGTCCCTTTCAGACATATTCCAAGAAAGACATCCTTGTCCACAGAAGTTGTTTTAAAGAACAATTTGATGGACGCTTCCTGATACAGTGTTACAATAGGTAACTGCTTATGTGGTAGGACTTCAGGGGTTCCTTAATATCCCCAATATGATATTACCCCTAGTCATATATCCAAAGTTTTAAGATCCCCATAGAAAAAGACATCTTGAAACTGAGAACCCATGACTATCTTTACAAAGCCAGTCTTTTATGCTCTGAAACAAATCAATTTAGATAACACGCCAAAGCAGGGAAATACTGCATGTTTTAGATCTTATATAACAACAATGGGGGAAAATTTCCATTTTTCATCCTTGCCTGCTACATAGATCCACTCATAATAAGAAGTCTATAAAATTATTTTTGCTTTGTTACAGAAAATATGTATGCTAAGAGATAGTTTTTTCTATTCCCTTTTTTTTTCTATGTCTGTGTTAGGAGTGGGATGGTAGGGAGGGGGGGCTTTCATGCCTACTTCTCATTCTAAGTATTGAGAGTTCTCATAATCACAATTGCCCTGTCATTGCTTTTCTTATTTTCTGTATTCACAGGTGGATGCGAACTAATAATGATACTGTAAAATGCTAAATTGTGGGAAGGGTGGTTGATTTCTAAAGAGTTGGAGTCAATGTGCTCAGGGTCTTTGGTTTAAAGTTGTTACCCCATGTCCAAGGCTGCCAGAGATGAGGAGCAAATAGATACCTAAGATGGCATAAGCTTCTGTCATCCTTGGTCAACGTGCTAGCGGCTGCTTCAAGCCTGTTCCGGTGGTGGTAGTGTGGAGACAGTATTGGCCATGAACAGCTTCACAGAAGCTTATGTGGACACTTTCGGGCCATTTGCACCTGAAGATGTACAGTCATCAGACCTATACTTACCTCCCAGTCTCCTTGAATTTTCCCTTGGCTTCATTTAAAAAAAACAAAAACAACTTTGGCTCATCTACTGTTATTTGCGTTTCTTCCCTTTTTCCTCTCCAACCCACAATTCACTCTATTCTAGAATTCAATAGAATATATAGTAAGCCAGTAGAATATATACTAAATTTTGGGATCATAAAAGAAAAAAAAAAGCCCTGCAAATACCAGTTTCATTAAAAGTGGATTGAATCTGTAGTCATTAAATGATTATTAAAACTCCTTCTTGCTGCCTCATGCCTTAAATTCCACTATCTAATCTGTCCACTTTCATTTGAAGGAAATGGTGCATAGTCCCTGCAGATTCACTACATGAGTCAGGCTAGAACACATCACACACAAGAGCTGACTGGAATTCTTTCTTATGAAGAGGTGATATCTGAAAAAGTCCTCTACTGAATTTCACACATATCCATTTAATCAATAATGTTCCTCGGGAGCAGTAATGATGTCTCGTCTGATCTTAGTTTTCACATGCATAAAATGAGAATAGCAACCTACAAAATAGTTTTGCAAGATTTATTAATTTCGGTTAATATAAGTAAAGTGGCTGGCACCATCTTGGGAAAGGGTAGATGTTTAATTAATGCATGTGCTTTTTCCCCTTGTTGGACTATATGCTCTGTGAAGAATAGATTTATGTTTTCTGTTCCTCCTGTGGCTTCCCACAGTACATTACAGGGATCTACATATGGCAGTTAATGTTTACTGAATGATATGATCTGATTAATATGGAACTCGGTAAGTGAAGGTAAGTGGTTGGCTGGCCCCAGCCACTGTGGACTTGGCAGTCGTGTATCTTTCAGAACAGAAGCACCCGGGGGAAGCCTGATGTCAATTGCAGACATGAACATGGATGTGTGATTAAAGTTAAGCACTAACAGGAGACTCCAAGGTTTTTGTTTTATGCTGAGCTTGTGCTATGATTTGATCCTAGTTACAGTCAGGACAAGGGCAGCACAAATGAAAGACTAGAAGAATTTATTGACTAAAGAGATGTAGTCTGTAGATTTACGGTGAGATGGATGCAACTTGATTTATAGAGGAAAACTGCATATACACCTCAATGACACGAAGCTCTAGGTACCAGGACACCCGGATCCTCAGTAAAGAAGACTAAGTTTCTGAGACAGTTGTCAAACCTTATCAGTCATGGAGACCCGTGCTATGTGTTGCTCAAACAGATAAACGAAACAAGGACAAACATAAGACTGGCAGTAAGCAACATATGGACATTACATTAAGAATAGAGGTCATCCAAGTTGCATGGCAGTGAGCCCTTGGAGCTCATTGTAGTCTGATGGCCCTTGAGTGCAGTTGGAAACCTTTATGTTTCCTTTGTCTCTTCCTTCTCCCAGGAGGGGAGCTGAACACTTCTGCAGATTTTGTTGTAACTAATTGATGATACAGACTTGTAGGTATGAAGTATGGCAGAAGTCATCTATTGTCTTAATCGTCCCTGACCTTAATATTTGCAATGCCTTGATCCGTGCATGTAATCTCTGGTCAGCTGATGATGCCTTCCCCCATGTGGCTGATCATCAATGTAAGAATCGAAGAATCTTTTAAAAGGAGCTCAGGGGCACCTGGGTGGCTCAGTCGGTTAGGTGTCCCACTCTGGATTTTGGCTCAGGTCATGATCTCAGGGTTGTGAGATCGAGCCCCCTTTCTGGCTCTGTGCTGGGTATGGAGCCTGCCAAAGATTCTCTCTCTCTCCCTCTAGTCCTCCCCCTATTTTCTCCCTCTTTCTTTCTTCCTTTCTTAAAAGAGAGAGAGAGAGTGTGTGTGTGCATAGGTTAACCCTGGACCAAAAAACCCAAAAAAAGCACTTGAGACTATCCGAAATTCTTGTCCAGCCCTATAATACTCTGAAGAAGCTCGGCTCCCTCTTGTGGCCTAAAACCATGAGTCCATTCGTTCAAACCTCCTTGGCTGTGTGGTTTTACAGGAGACAGTCTTTCCCCAGCTATGCCTGGAGCTTTGTAATCTTTTCATTTCATTCCCATTGGTGGGAAAATAGGCATGGCTTTGGGAAGTCTGGGAGAACAGTATACCTGGCTTTGTGACCTCTCATGCTCCCTAACTTGTCCTTCTTCCGGCCTCTTGTGGGAAGGGGAGTAGGGGGTATCTAACTCTCATGCTGAAAATTCGGTGTTCTCATACACTCCATTTTCTTATCACAGCCTGTCAGTCTATCTCTCTTTGAACTTACCCAGAGAAATAAGTGAATAATTCCTTAAAATGTTATCACCCAAGAAGATCGGTTTCGTTAAAAATAAAAGGAACTAAAGGAATTAAACTGGTAAACAGAATCTGGTGCATTAGAGAGTGGGAGTAAAATAGGAGATCCACGCAGGCATAACCTTCAGAGGTGATATGTCATAAGGGCCAGAGATGGAAAACTCACAGACTAAAGGGTCGTATCTAGTTCTCAGTAACTTTTTTAAAGAATTTAGGCCACTTTGTTTTTTAAAGAGGTAAGTTAGTTAAACATGGAGTGCTGTCATATTAAAACAAAACACACCTTAGATTTCTATCTTCTTGGACACAAATTAGGAGCTTAGTTAACAGAGGGTCCACATTCCCTCATGGCAACAGTCCACGGAAGCTGCTTCAGAGGAAGCACACGTCCTCCACTTCGTCACCCACCTCAGCACTCCCACAGTTGTATGGTTGACTCATTTCCCTCAATTTGTACCTGCTTGACTCTTGCAACTCTGAGTTTGTGACTCTGTAAGGTCCTAGCATGTAAGACCTGTTTACATCCTTAGTATAGTAAGGCGCTGGACCTTAGTCCCACATTACATTATTTTTAACTGAATAATAGTCCAGGGACCCATGTCGAGCCAAGAGGGGGAATGCAGCCCAAAGAGGTACTGTCTTCACAGAGCAGACTGACCTGGAAATCTCAGGGAAGGAATCCAGGGAAATCTCAGGTCATGAAGCTGTGAATTTTTTAGTTACCAGGGATATGCCAAAATGGAGATGAATTTCAACTTAATGCAGAGTAACCACAATGCCAAAAACAACAGAAAAAAAATAAAATGTGGATTTATCTCTGTTGAGGCTATTTCTTTGAGTCTCCCTTTACTTCTGCTGGTTTATGGAGGCCATTGGGCATAAGCTACTTACTACTTGGTTTGATTATGTATGGCCTCTTCAAGGTTGTTAAGTCTTGGAGGACAGATTTTCTGCTCTAGTTCTTGCCCATTTTCTTTCCCTTTCTTTTCATATCCCCCTTCCATTTCCCCTAAAAGAAAACACCTTAAAATAATACACGTGTTAGAGGATGAAATAGAAGTTCCATCCTTTTCTGTCTGCTGCTGCTTTTCTTCTGTTGGATAAAGGTGGAGTCCTGTGACCCTCTTGATTTTTCCTTTTCAGGGTTTAGACTGAGACGGCGCCATGTCCTCGTGGAATCCACAGGGCCTGCAGGCTACTGCCCTCATTTGGTGGAGTCTGTTCCTTGCGAGGATCCAATGTGTTACCGGTGGCTGGCGTCTGAAGGGATCTGTATCCCTGATCATGGAAAATGTGGCCTGGGGCATCGCATCCTGAAGGCCTTCTGCCAGAATGACCGAGGTATGAGGCAAAAAAACATGGGTTGCTAAGTGATATGTGCCATATGATGTCACTGCTGTCTAACAGGTCCATCTCCTGAGGGAGAGAAACACTTAAATGTAAGTATTTACATGTAAGTCAGATGCCACATTGCTGCAAGGTAAGCTGCCTTGACTTATTAGGCCACACTCTGAAAGAAATTTGTATGATTATGCCCAGATGCTATATAGTGAACCTAGAGATTTCTCTGCAGTTTTCAATTTATCAAGACAGAGCATAGAGAATTCCTCTGAGTAGTCGTCAGCTTATCAATACAAAACAAGTTTTATTTGCCTTTTTTGAGGTCGATATGTAACACACTTTTATATATTATTAACAAATACTATACCTTGTAAAGGTTCCAGGGCTGCAATTCTTTCCAAGTTAAAGAAAAAAAATACTAAATCTTTTCATTTATATAACATTCGACCAGAATCAGTTCCAGACATAATACTGACATTTCTAAGGAACCATTTTTACATATAAATTGTCAAGATTTACAAAACTATTGAAGGTGGTGTCTTTCCTTCATTGCCAAGCTTCTCGTACAATGGGTTGTTTGAAATGAGGGGTGATTTAGAAAATATGTAAGTCACATGGAAATGAGAAAAGTGACATTTTTAAACCTTTGTCTTACAGTTTAGAAAAAAAAATCAGTCTCTTGGAAGAATATCAAGTGTGTCTATTAATCCCATTTATAATGCTCTTGGTATGTGGAATGGAATGTTTTGGCTTATGAAGTGAAGTAATCCATAGAATACAAGAAATTACAAGGTGGATTCAGAGTGGCTATTTGCTTCCAGATGGGATTGACATTCAGCAATGGTTTCCTTTTTTCCCTCCTTCCTGTACCCTTTTTTCTCTTTCTTTCACTTGCTCCATGCCTTTTCCTCCATCACTTTCTTCCTTTCTTTCCTTCCTCCCTCTTCTTTATTTCCTCCTTCTTTTTATCTGATCTTCTTACTCTTTTTTAACCACTGCCATAATTGGGCAGATACACACATTATGAAGCAATATAATCAGTTATCTCATGAAAGGTATTTGTTTAATTAAATAGAGGTCAACAACACATTATACAAAGCTACATCCTTTTTGACTGAGTAATTACAACTGATTGTGGCTTTGAGTATTACCAAATAATTTTTGAATTGTGGTAATATATGTATAATTTATTAACAGAGGCAAATAAGATCACTTTTGTACTACTTTCCTTTGAATTCAGGAAGATTAGTACAGAGGTTTGAACCTGAAGTCTAAAGTCAGCCAGGTGGGAGTTTCAAGTCTGCTACTCACCTGCTAGATGATCTCAGGAAAATTAATTAATTTGTGGAGGCATCCTTTCCCTCAGTTTGAAATGGGGGTAATAAAACCTACCTCTCACTCTCAGATTGTGAGAGCTAAATTGGTTATATAAAAGTGATTAGTGAAGTGTCTGGCACATAACCATTCAAAATAAGCTATAAGCTTATTTTACTTATAATGCACATTTATTACTGTTGCCCTGGGGGAATTGTGCAAAGAGCATTCTTACATAATATGAAGATAATAATGAGTATTAGAAAAACCACACTACTTCTTCCTCCCAACCTCCCACGGTGGAGACAAGAAGATCATTTGGTTGAGTCCCAATGACAAATGACTATCAGGCTTTGTCATCTCACAGCAGGTATTAGAGGCTTGTCATGATATATTATGTCTATAGGGCTGAGGAGTTTTTCACAATTTGTTCTGTGCCTTCTATGGTATTGCAGAGTGTTACATTGTGATCTATAATTAGAAATAAATATTCTTCCCATTTCTGGCACAGAGCTGCTAAAACTCTTGGACTTTCTGATCAATAAGAGCAATGGGAGCATCTTTGGTTATATTTAGTCTCTTGCCCTCAGTTGCTGAAATCCCTTCTGAAAAGGTAACATGGGTATGTTGTGACTCAAAAAAAAAAAAAAAAAAAAAAAAAAAAAAAAAAAAAAAAAAAAAAAGGAATGGGTGTGTTGTTATTCATAACAAGCTGGCTTCCCCCACAACAGGGTTTATGTTAATGAGGTGATTTGTGGAAAGCACCTAAGGATGGAGCTGGTTGCCAGAGAAACCAACCAAATGGAAGGTTGGTTGGAACTTTCAGTTCCAGGGAGGGAGAAGGGCTGGAGATTGAATCCAACACCAATGACCAGTGATTTAATCAATCATACAGATGTAAAGAAGCCTCCATAAAAACCCCAAAGGATTCCGGGCCTGAAGGGCTTCCAAGTTGGTGAACACGTGGAGATTTGGAGAGCATGGTGGGTAGAAACCCTGTGCCCTTTTCCCATCCTCTTCCATAAGGCATCTCTCCATAAGGCTGTTCCTGAGTTAGATCCTTTCACAATAAATTGATCATCTAGTACGCAAAACAGGTTTCCTTAATTCTGGGAGCATCTCTGGCCAATTAATCAAGCCCAAGGAGGGGATTGTGGGAACCTCTGATTTATAAGCCCATTGGTCTAAAGTGCAGGTAACCATTTTAATGGTTTAGGCTGGACTTGTGATTGGCATCCTCAGTTGGAGAGGGTTGTTGGAACCTCCGATTTATAGCTGTCTGGTTAGAAGCATAGCTCACTGTTAGGTCCCCCAATAATGGGTCCATGATCAAAGGAGCGAGACTGATAGAAAGCGAAGGTCAAGCAAAGTTTTATTTTGCGCCAAGCATCGTGAATCAAACTGACCAGTCGGGGCCATCTCTTACAAAGAGGCAACCCTTCCCTGTCTTGCCGACTAACTTTTAAAGGTCAAAGGCCATGTGGTTGAGCCTGGCCACGCACAGGTGGCAAAAGAGATTGTAACACACAGAGAAAGTTGCATAGTCATGCTAGGTCACACACGAATGACAAATTGAATTACAATTTACCCTATAGTAGCTATTTGAACTAGCCTATCACCTTGGTCAGAATTGGCGTCCAAAAGGCGCCCAAAAGGCGCCCAAAAGGCGGGGCCCACACTCATTGGTAGCTAGGGAGACAGTACGCGGGCCCCACTGATTGGCTCTCTCCACTTGGCCTGACCCACCCTTGTATTTGGGCTTTGTTACCTGGGACTAGTTTCCCAGACTTGCTTTTGAGTATGTTCCCTGAGTGGGGGGCAGGGACAGTTTAAGTTTTACTGCATAAACAACAAAATCACTGTTTAACTGGATGGAATCGCTCTGGCTAAATAGGCCCTTACACTTACCTGGGCTTGCAATTGGACTCTGAAGTGGAGGCAGACTTCTAGGACTGAGCCTTTTACCTGTGGAATTAGATGCTACTTCTAGGTAGTGTCAGGACTGAGTTGAATATTAGGACACCCAGCTTTTGTTGGAGGGTTCTGTGGTGTGGTGTGGGGAAACTGCCCCTCCTCCCCCCACACCCACTTCCTCAGCCACTGAAAATGGATGTAGCCTCCTTTTTTTGGAGGTATCAATTTTACCATTGTAGAGCACTTTTAGAGGTTTTTTTTTTTTTTTGTTATTGTTGTTTTTTTCTTATTCCTGTGAAAGGACAAATTTTCAACATTGACCTACACTCTCAATTTCTGTGGGGAGAAATAGAAATTACTAATGGTTCATATCAGTCCCATGAAGTCTTTGTGATTTGTACATACCTGATTGGCTCCCTAATCATTTGTGGGTATCAGCCATGTCATACTTACGAGAACATGCTGGCCTCCTGGTAGCTGAAGCAGTCTTTTGTCTGGTGAGAAATTGAAAATGTAGTCTGGGTACACATTTTGCAGTTCAGCTTCTGTGAAGTTCTGGATGATTAATGATAGAAGTTTAGCAAAGTGCTCCTCTTTGACTCTCCACATATTATCATAGTCTTTCCATACCTACGGGAATTGACAGAACTGTTGACACTCATTTAAATGCTTAGAGAGAAAGAAAAAGGTTGAGATATATTTAATATTTTTAATATTATTTAATATCTATTTAATAACTCATCTGTGATTTTTTTCTTGTAACATTTGACAGTTTTCTTTTAATCACCCTGAATTTATTGTTTTATATGCCCTTTATTTCAGAATTTATTTAGAGTTAAATGGGTAAGATGAAAAGAAATATCTTCATTTTGGTTGAAGAAAATAAAAATGAAAACTCAATCAGGATAGAAGCCTGCTAATTTGCAAGGGTCACTTACTTAATTTTATATAGATATGTAATAACATGTTATATATATACATACACATACATACGCAGACATACATGTATGTATATAAATTACTCAGCATCCCTGCAGAATATCTACATCCCATTCAAGCCAAGAGATTTCCACATAGCCATGATCAGGATTCTGGAAGACTCTTAACAGTGTCTTATTGGGGATTTGTGCTGCTAGTCAGACATATTTCTCTTTCTCAGAAGTCTAAATCATTAGCTTAATGATTTAATTTATTAGTTTAAATCAACAATTTAATTTAAATCAACAAAATTTAAAATGATTTAAAATTTTGTTTTAAATTTAAATTTAAAATTTGATTTAAAATTTTGAAAATACACAATCTCTGTCACACTGAAACCAGTAAGTAACTGGAAATAGCAATTTGAGATATGAAAAGCTTTTTGGATTTAAGAATTATAGTCAAAAGATACAAATAATCATTTATGAATTTTTAAAGCTCTCTGTGCGGGAGGTATGATTTGACTCATTCTTTACTTTGATTTATTAGTGATACTATCCAGTCTTATAAAAGTTCCTGTGTCTTACCTGGCTTGTGATTGTAGCAAACAACGGGTTAGTAATACTCATTTTTAGGAAGAAAATTGTATAACAGATTACATGAATGAGGATTCTGATTTGGAATCTGATTTCTAACACTTGGAGTGGTCAGTGAGCTTTGATTTCCTTCCTCTGAACAACATCTTATTTACTCTTCTGGGTCAATAGAAGTCTACTGAGTATAGAATATACATAGGTTTTTCTTGTTTCATTGACAAGCAGGTTTCCTCCATGTTGAAGAGGGCATTTGAAGGT